ACTCTAAATCAATCAATTCCGCAAGGAGTCTACAAATGATTCTACTCATGAGTCAACATGAATGGAACATGAAGTTCAAACTACACATGCAATGTTCAATTGTGCACTCTAAGTTTCAAAATGTGACTAACAATCATCAAATGACCTCAAACTCACAATGTTTGCTCCAAATGCAAGTTGAAGCTCATTAAAAGCATTTGAATGCCCTCATATTCAATATGATTGAATGCACAAACAAAGCTCTTCAACTTTAAATGTTTTTAAATCAAAACAACTCTTACTCTCTCAAGAAACAAACACATGCATGACTCTTCCCCCTTGGCTTGCCTATAGTTTCAAATCAATATGATATTAAGCGTACTCAAGATTACAAAGGTCTTTCAAGGCCTGTAAGAGGGCGAAGGGTAATGGTATGATCATTTAGTCTTAGTTCCTTATACCTTTTTGAAACATGACCGTCATTTCATTATTTCTCATTGTCTATTTTAATTTTTTATTTTCAAATGACACACTCAATTATTCTAAGCACGAATCATTGGATGTCCCTTTTGTTTTGCTCATTGCAACTTTATTTCAACAATTCTCTTATTTTTATTTATCTATTTTTTTTATATGGAGGGGTTCCATCTTTCTCAACACAATATTTCAAGGGGTGAATTTATCAAACTTCTTGATTTTCCTCCTTCTCACCACAACCCTAACATAGGCTTTTGACTTACATTGTCAATTCAACATAACTAATGCTCCATAAAAATTTTAGGTGCGAAGGAAAAGGGTTATTTGTGTTAAAGGTTCAACCAAAGAAAATGATATGCTCAAATAAGGCCAAGCTAGGCTCAAAATTTTCACAAGGTGGTCATAAAGAGGTATAATGGAAATATCGATTCACTCTCCAAAAATTGTGCCTAAGATCATTTCTAAATTCACTCACACTAGTCAATTGGACATATAAGGAATGTTTTAGGTATTATCAAGCATGCATTTCATGACAATCTCACCACACACTACATCTAACACAATCATTAAACAAGACTTAAAATTTAGCTACTTGCAACGAACATGACAAGAGTTGAAATCAACCACCGACTTAGCCACTATGAGATAATATGAGTTCAATATGACTTTTGCAACTCAATTTGCCTCATCATATTTGCACACACATTTCGTCAATAAATAGCACTATTTAAGTCATCGGTATTGATCACAAGTGACACTCAAAAATGTAAGAGAACGATCACATTCAGACACATCAAGAGGTGGCAATTTTCAAAATGGGGTCAAAACAACAATTACATTAAAAACAATGGACAAAAAGTCAAAATACATCAACACAAGATCATATCAAACATTCACAACACATAAACAACAAATATCCACAAAATATTCTAAAAGAGGTAGGTACAGAAATACCTCACCCTAGTAATAAGTCTAGCAGTTGTCCTCAAATGAAAATGAATAGATAAAAAAACAAGATAAAAACAAAAAAGGAGTTAAAGAAATCCTCCTTCGAGGATAACATTGGGGTGAACACTAAATCTCAATGACTCCATTATCTTGGGCATTAGTTCCCGTTACAACATCATCCTTTGCTCCATTAGATCCCACCATCGAAGTATCTCTTAGTCATGCCTCGAGTGTTTTCTGAACAATGGACCCATCAAGGTCCTCCATATCATCATACTTAGTTTTGTCACGAACAAGTAGCGCCTCTTCATCAGTCTCAACCTATACCTTAGCACTTGCATCCTCTCTAGTATCATCTCCGATCGTAGAAACCGGAGGAATCTCAGAATTGGCTGGGGAATCTACACTAGGAACCCCGGGGATCTCTACTATACTGAAGACATATATAGATAAGTGGACTACAACACATCCACATTGTTATTTAGCCCAATAATGTCAACCTTCAATCCTCAGTACAAGCACCCTTGTTGTGCTCACAATCTTCAACTCTTATAGTGAGGAAATGTAGGGCAAGTCTATGGGCATCTATCAAATCACTATTCTCTCTCAACTTAGCCCTAACCATGGCCTAGGCAGAACAAATTTCCCACTCAACCAATCTAGGAACACTGAGCCAAATGGCTCATTTTGTACAACATGGAATGGGTGATAGAGGTCAACAAGTAGAAAAAACATAATGATGAGTAGGAGGCAGAACGACCGTCAAACGATTAGAAGAAGAAGAAGAAGTAATGGGTGTAACTATAGGCTCGCTAGCTGGAGTAAGTATTAACTTAGTTTGCAACATCACAACATAAACTACCGAAGACGTATCTATCGGTGTAGGTCTTCTCCAATCAGCCTCATCTCTCATATACTCTCCCTTTATCCGTAAGATGTCAGCAGGTGACGTGAGAGTTAATGAGTCCATGATTTGGTCTCATTAGATCTATATTTTTGTGGATTTAGTGTCCTCAAATGCATATTTTGTGTCAATAATTGATGAACCTTATGTTTTAGGTAGCTAGACTTGGAGACAAAGCATGGACACAATTGAGCAAATTAGAGTAAGGTAGTGGAAAGAATGAAGAAAAGGTAGCCTAAGGTTTGCCTAATTCATTAGGAAAGTCGCCAAATGGCCTTACTCTTGCGTAATGTTGTAATGCACTGAACCCTGATGGACAGGATAAAGACGACGGTGAAAAGGAGTTTTTGGCGTATCCTTAAATAGTTCTGCAAGCAGTACTATATCTCCCAACGATTTATAATACGAAGATGGTGAACGCTAAAGTAAGACGACGATGAAATATAGCAAAGAGAGGATCTCCAAATTGACTGTCGATCCCGACTAACTGAGTCGAGTGATCCTTCACAACATAATTTGAAATAACTATAAATACATTTTAAAATTCTTAGTTTACAATCGAGACTTTGAGAAATCAAATAGATAATTTTATTTTTAGTTCTTAGAATTTTTATGAGACATTGTTCTTGAGCTTAAAAGATTTGAAGGTTTTCAACTCAAAGAAATTTGATGTGGATATTGAAGAATCATTGTCTTTGCCTTTTGTAAAGACATTTTCTATCATACCCAATTGATGGAAATAATTTCAGGAATTGATTTCTATCTCTTTACCATTCCTAGCTAAAACTCCAATTTTTGAGATGTGATTATGTGAATATGGATTTAATTTACTGTAGGGTCTTGCTAATTAACAGGTAATTTTGTATTTAAATGTGATTTCATTCAGTTGTTGCGTATGAACTTAATGGGATTGTAGTTGCAATTAAAATTTCGTCTTTGTGGTTTTAGTATGCTCGAACAGAGGTTTTAAAATAAAGATCATTGAATCAATAGCCTTTGGTTATTGGGTTGTAGTGCGTTTAGCTCGAGAGATTGAATCCTAAACCTTCTCCCACACATTTATATTGAGAGAGTGAATGGGCTAATGTGAAGACTTGGCATAATTGCGGCTTATTAGTGTATGAGAGAAACCAATTTGATTAAAGGCAAATTTCTTGAGAGACAATTCACCACCATTAAATTCTAGCTTAGTCACAAATATATAGCGATTTTCTATCAAAAGCATGTACATAGTCGTTTATTTTAGCCCATATTCCTATCACATCCAAAGAATCGAGTCTCTGTGTTTGTACATCTATTTTTTTCAGTTTTAGTTTATAATTATCAATAAAAACCCCTTCAATATTTGACACTTGTTTTACCCGTTTAATTAGATATGTTTTCATTCGTATTTGTCTTTAGGTATAACTAATATAAACTGATTCATACTTGGATAAAATTCTTAGAACCATACCTTGTGGGATTCGACCCCAACTAACTTAATAGGGTTACATTACTAACTAACGATCATCGACAGTTAGTATTGGATGAAGTGTCCGATGCGTTAATCAAAATGGCACCGCTGTTGGGTAGTGGTGTTAGTTGAGAATTTTTAATTAAGTCGACTTTTGATCTTGTTAGTTAGAGTGGAACTAACTTAAATTTTAGTTTTTCTTTGTTTATTTTCGGTATAGTTTTTTTAAAGAGGGAGACTAAGCATAATTGGTATAAAAGTTTTCCAAATAACTAAGACTAATAAAAAATGGAGGAGGATCACTATTTGGTCTCACTATTAGGTCAGTTGGACAATTTGACCAAGAAGATATTAAAGGTTGAAATGCAATGTAGAAGGAATAATAATACATACCGCCTCATGAGGGGAGAAAGTATGAGGAAAATTCTAATAGGCGTGTTGAGGATACATTATCAATCATTCTCAAAAATGTCAACAAGCAAGATAGATTGATGGAAGAGATGAAGGACATTATTGAAGTGCTAAATCTAATGGATGGCTCTCCTTACATATCTATTCATCTGCTTGAGAATCTTTTAACATATGATTTGCCTCATCTCTACACAACTAAGCGAGAGGGGTCACCTAGTGGTACTAAGGTAGACCAAAAAATGGAACATGAATGAGGATGTGCGTCGTGCCACAATGTTAACTAAGGCTTTTTTTTGTGACTCCCAAGATTTTATCACTTAAAATTGTTATGTTAGAATAGTTTTGTACTGATTGTGCAGGTTAAAAGATGGAAAGTGTTCAAAAGTGCATCCCGATGAGCTAAAGAACCAGTTGGCGAATCGTGGAAGAGGTTGGCAACCCCGACCTACTCCGCTGCTTGGACCCACATTATAACCAAAGTTCCTGTAAAACTCGGCAAGGTGAGTGGCTATTCGGCAATTCACCAAGAGGGTTGGCAATCAGGACTAACATCACCAAAGGGATAAAAATTGAACGATTTATTTAAATCCAATGGTTAAACCACTACATCTTTAGATTTCCTGCTCTTTTTAACCTCTCAAACTCTCATCCCGGTAGTATTCTCCATATTTCGTTATTATCTAAGCATTTTAGTCAGCAATGTTGTGTTTGGAGTGGATTACTTTCGCAACGACCCAAAGGTACCCCTTGCAAGTTAGCGGCATACGAGACCCCGAGAAGTCCCACACTAGCCTCTCGTATCAATCATCGCATAATATACTCTAAAAATAAGAAAGAATTTAAAACTTTTTTCACACACAAAGAATACTTTCATTAATACGCAAGTGGAAGACTTTAACCATCTATCTTTACAATGTCTCATTTAACCATCTAATACTTTGAATGTACAACACTTGGGTCTAAGCCCATACAAGACTTAAAAGAAAAAATAATGACATAAAAGGAACATGTGGGTCTTGTCCTCGAATCTCTCAGGACTCCCAATACTTCATCATCACCCTTAGAAACCTATCCATCATCCATGGCATATCAAGGCTTTCAATTCCCTACATGTAGTTAAATAGGGGAAAGAAGGGTTAGCACATTAAATGCACTAAGTATGGAAGCCATGCAAAACCATGAAAAAGGGACCTTTAGTATATACACATGCTTTCATGACATTTTGATAAAAACCTTCATATAAAGAGTTTAAGATACATAACCATATTCACATAGAGCCCTACTTAAGGTTATCCTAAGACACACCTAAGTAAGGTATGAAGCAGACGCCCATACAACCCCTTCATACAAACCTAGTTGATATTTAAGACTACCTAAAAAAGGTTATTCAATTTCAACACATATCACATATTTCCATATTCAATAAGATAAGCATTATTCAAAACATCTCTAAGTCCATCATTCACACAAGAAGGATAAGATTAAGCTTTCAAGTTCAAGGATATCATAACCTTCGTTCTATATTGAAGTTTCCATGTTATTGACCTTCTTTACACATTAACTTTCCTATATTAGTCATCCTTAGAAGGGAACCATCTTAGGTCCATCGATCCTAGACTTTCATTCATTATTAATTCAAACACATATATGACAAGGGTACTTTAGCCTACCAAGTCAATGGATCACATATTCACATATCTCTCATGGATCAAGAAAAGGGACTTAGCTCTACCTAATGAAGACACACAATCGTCATATCAATTATACAATATCATTCAAGTACCATGTAGGGACACTAAGGGTTTCCTAACAAGATACCCTATCAACACACATAGAAGCTCATCATAGTCTACCATAGTCACACATAATCATTTAAGGACAACATACATTAACCTCACACCTACACATACAACATTATCATATACCATCACTTAAAAAAGAATCATAACATTAGCATTCAAATAAGATCACTTAACAATTAAAAGATTACATCACTTCATATCTTCACATTACACAATATCGCACATATAGTACATCATAACATCACCTAACCTAATCATATAAGCCATAACATATTCTACATGATCACATTACTTCACATAAACATCTACACATTACCTTTTCATATAAGCCCTAGCATGATACTACCACAATTTACATAAATAATGCAGACAAAACCATGTTCATCACATAATCAACATTCCTTAGCCTTTTCAATCAATTCAATTCACAAAGGCTCTTACCAATAGCCATAAACATAATTCTTAACCAAAAATCAAAATATACCAATGATCAAACAATATACAACATGAACATCATCAAATTAAGTTAGCGATATACAATTCTATCATGATCTATACACAATTGAATAACCAAATACAATTTACACATGAATTAACTAGTACAGGTCTTGGTCAAATCACCCATATTATAAGCAAATTAAGATATTAGATAAGGTCCAGGGTTCGTGGATATTTTAATTTAAAAACAACAATTATACATCAATAACATCATACCTCATTGTTTGAAAACATTTCATGCAAGAACCCACGAAGAGTAGAAATTGGACTTTTTCATAAACTTTAAAATCACTTTGAAATTGGATCTAAGGTGATAGAAAGCCTTAGATAAATAACTCACATACATTATTAAAATAAATCCAAAGAGAATTGAAGAAGAAATTCATTGAAATCCATCATCCTAGCTCCATCTTGACCTTGAGCTAACATGGATATTTTAGGAGAAAACATAGGAGGCAAAGGGTTTTGATTTAGGTGTTAGGGTCTAAATGAGATTTAAATAACTTTAATAATCTTAAAAATACCCAAATACACCTAAAACAACCGTCCATACTACTTAAAAGACTTGAGTTTAAATTTAAAAAAAAAGCAAGGCCGAGTTGCTGGCAGTGTATAAGAGCCAAACCATTCCCACAAATGATGGTCCATTGATTGAACCACGTCTGGTCGATGGGGCTTCATGGTTTTGGTCTAAAGCTTCCAAACTATTGGCTTTGCAGCCTCAATCGATGGACCATTTGATTATATGTTGTATCTCTTAAATCTTGTCATAATGTATTTAATATTTTAACCCCTTCTTGTCGTGTATTAAATTTTATTAGATTTTGTTGGGTTGTATGTGCTTTTCATGTAGCGTATGTGGGTGAAGTATGAGTAGCCTAGATTTTTGCCGAACTATATAGTTTTCCCAATGATAGAAAGGATGACATCATTCAAACGGTAAAAATCATCAATTGGCAAAAATTTTCAAATCCCAGAGAAGTCTGAGTATTCCGTCGTACTAGGTGTTATAGGACTTGTGTTAATTTTGCTATTGTATGGTTTGATTTTATTTTTGGGGGTCGCGAGGTTTAATTCAAGAATATGGATTGAAAACAGACACGTTGGTTCATTTGGCATACTGAGCCTAGCTCGCTGAACCACTCAGTGGTTCACCAAATGTGGCCATCTCGACTTTAATTTCACGTTGTATTCATTTTTAGCCTCTATAACTTTCAGCGAGAAACCTGATTTCGCTGAAGACACTTGATGACTCGCCGAAAGACTTCTTGATCACCTTTAAATATACACCCATGAACAATTTTGGCACTATAGCATTTGGTAGATTAGACTTTTCTCACCGAAAAGTGTTAGCAATACGCCGAATGGAACTTCGTGTTGTCAGTTTATTGTAAAAATTTGATCCAATCCTTTTGGCGATCTGATTTATCTTGACAAAGATATTTTGCAACTCACCGAGTAGCTTTACAAGTCTTATTGAAAATTTTATTCAATGAATGTGATTAAGTTGTTCCTATCTTTTTCTTAATACTTTGCAGGAATGGTGAGGACAAACATAGATGAGCCACCCCGTAAAAGAGTACGATGTATTATAGTCAATGAAAGAGGATAAAATAGTACAAGAAGAGAAAGACAAGAAACACCACCGGGTGAAAAAGGAAAGAGAAAAATTCTTATGTCTGATAGGACTACTGCTAGACCTTAGGATAATTTATCTGAGCATGACGACAACTAACTTTTACGACCCCGGCGGTCGAAGCCCCGGGTTTGATCTCACTCCACATTTACAAGATCCTCTCCTTCTCCCACACCACCACAGGCAGTTCTACCCCAAGCACCTCCTATGGCCGTTGTGAAAAAATGGTTCCTCCACCTAGGCTCCTTAACCACTTAAAGGGTGATGGGCTATGAATTATTCTAGAGGAGAAGTTGTTATCGATATGGGGATTTCAGGTAAGTATTCCAATGTAAGATATACCCTTAAATTCCATATATTTGGGCAGTTCACCAGGCCCCGAGGCCTTTATATTCCTTCATGGGTCCAGGAATTCTATATGGCATATGGTGAGTTTGTCACAAATATAAAAAAAGAAGTCGAGTAAATTCACACCAGTTAAGTCGATAATGGTTCAGGGAAAGGAAGTTCAATGCAATAACTAGTACATCAACTCTTTACTTGATAGAGGGCATGCCTTTGACTACCCCAACCTAACTACCACTACAACTTCATTAGATTAACTTAAGGGATGGTTGGCGCCCCTCATTTCAAGCACCACCCCGAGTTGGATTGAGGCAGGAGTCCCAATTGAGAAAAGGGGCTTTAGTGTAGCTTCGCGTTGTTGGTTTTGATTTCTTAGAAGCTCCATCATTCCCTCCCAAAATCAGTCCATTCTCCATTTTCCCAATGTAGCCTATCTCGTGTCGATTATTTATAGGAGGAGAATTAACATAGGCCTTATTAATGAGAAAGAAATGTCCATGATGGCCAAATAAAGTCATACCTCACTGCAAATCCCAATACTAATCATGGATATTTTCTAACATGTTGAGGTACCCCAGGATGCCGCTATGGATTTTTAGGTTACCCTTTCATCTTCCACCAACATCTGGTGTATTGAGTCCTAGTATATTACAGAGGAGGCTCACAAGAAGAGGGAAACACAGATAGGCACATCACTAGAGTATATTTACTCGATACTTCTAGAAGAATCTTTGCCTACTCCAGCCTCTTTGCCTTCATGTACTTATTCCTCTATTTCTTCTTCATATGCTCCAGGCACGTCCAGTTCCTCCAGCATCTTGAGATTACTCAGGCTATGATCCTAAAGATGGGGCATCTTTCTCAGTCAGCAGACGTGAGAGCTACAAGATTGGAAAGAGAAGTCCCTTTAATGATTGAAGGTTCCATAATAGCTACTTGACGCCCCTCCGTGCTTCTTTTTATGATCTGACCGCTATGGTCCCAGATTGTGAGAGAAGGAATGGGGAGACCTCCAAGGTTTCAAAGTAGACTTGAGGAAGGACGAAGACTATCAGAAGTCTCTTGACGTCACTTCATTAGTGGAGGCTGCAGATGATTTAGATGACTCTAAGTCTTGAGAGATTCCTCGTGTTAACACCTAAGAAATACACATGAAGGAAGCTGCAGTTGATGGGTCGGATAATGAAACTAATGAGGAGAATATAGATATAAGGAAGAAGAGCATATATAAAGACTTGCCGGACCTTAAGGAGGTTGAGGGAGCTCCATATCAAAACCTTACTGAGATGGAGGAGATCATGGTAGATTTTGTTGTGCATGTTTCCCTACCAGATACACCTTTTGTTATATCCAACGAAGTTGGTACTTCTGAGTTGACTCCAGGCGCTGATACCCAAGTCGAGGCAGATGCACCAGGCACTGATTTTCAAACAAATGGAGCGACTTCTTAGATAACATCCTTTATTTACGTCCCTCTCTCTCTTACTTTATTTCACTTTTGGATGCTTTTATTTAATTTGAATTTGAGGACAAATGATTTTCATTTGTGGTGGGGTGAGTCCCACCTTTTGTGTGAGTATTGATGTTCGATGGTTCTTTGATATATTTGGGTCATTATGGTTAAAATTGTATTTTATGTAGATCTTTATGGATGTTTGAGCTTGTGGCTTCTTATTCTTTAATTTTAAATGATTTAACCCATCAGGAAAAAAATTCTCCATATCTTGTATGTACTTGAATATGGTTGTTCTTTGGAAAATTTTTGTCTCGCTTTGATCAATACCGATGACTTTGATATTTAGCACAATTGAATGAACAAAAATGT